ATAATGACTATTTCAATAAGATTTTCCAAAAAATATTTAATATACAGATTCGACTAAGAATTTTATTATATGTATAGATATATAGTAAATGTTTTATAATAGCTGAACAGAACGGAAAAAAGAGAACTCTAAAAATGCACATGAGTGAAGCGAGGGTAAATCACTAGTATGATACAAAAACATAAAGAATGCACATATTTTAATAAAACTTTAATATCCATTTACATAAAGTATAATCTAGTACCTGTAAAAGAGCAACGGGAGCCCAATTACTGGACATCGTTTGAAAGCTAACCTTACTACGTCACTTGCCTAGTATTAATTAAGCACCGCTCGCATGTCAAAGCAAGGATAATGAACGTCCTTTAAGACGTGTCACGTGATCATTCCTTGTATGACAGATTTTGTAATATAACCTCATCTTGGTAAAATTCTCTTATGGTCGGGCGCTCTATATTTTCCGTAGATACCATAAGTCGAAGTCTTTTCATTGAGTAGAGTTTTTTTTCTTTACTTTGTAATACTAATATATAAGACTGAAATTGTATTTGTTGGTTAATATTTCTTTTATATATGACACTGCGAAAAACAAACGGAATGTGGCTGAGTAAGGTAGGGACATATGTACATATGAATTACATATACACAGGTCAAGCACATAACCCTCGTTTGGGCCTTGCCGCAGTTGGCTAAATAGTACTTTAGTTTCATTTTTAATTTCTACGATATGATATAGATATGTACTCGTAGGTATGTATATCTATACATATAATAAAATTGTAGCTAAGCCGAATCTGTACATTAAATATTTTTTGGAAAATCTTATTGAAATTGACATTATTATCGATAAAGAGGCCGAATCTATAGTTTTTACAATTTTTGTCTGTCTGTCTGTTAATGCATCACGGGAAAACCACTGGAGGGATTTTTTGACGAAATTGGGTATGATGGTAGCTGGTTATCCGGGTCAACATATAGGATACTTTTTACCGCGGGAAAATGTCTCATTTCTGAGAAAAAATACAAAAACTGTAATGTAAGAGTATACTAATATGTAAAACCTAAGAATTTGGTTTTTGGTCATCTGAACGCTGGCGGAGCCGCCGGCAATGCTAGTAAAAAAATAAGAATTTAATTAATTTATTTTCACTACGTACTTATACATCTAGTTTCTTATTTATCAAAGAAAATGACTTTGAAAGACAAAACTTAAAGATATTTGTAATGAAATGAAAAAGTTTTTATTTTAGTTTTTTATTTACCAAAATATTGTCGAATGAATTTTTAAATGTAAGAATAGATAGATAATTATAAAATATTTCATTGCTTTTGCAGAGTAGATATTTGATTACTTCAGGTGAAAAGCTAAAAGTCTATCTTGTATATTTATTATTTACCTAAACCTATAAATTAAATGTAGTGTAAAAGTATAAAATAAAACCTTAATTTTGTTCTTAATGAGCATAACTTTTAAATTATACTTTCTTAGATTTACGAATCATCGCGGGAGAGACAGTCTCTCCTGCTACCATGATTGCTGTAAAGCATTCGAAACGTCGGAAACCAAAAATCAAAATAAATCCGAAAAGATAGTTTTATTTAAAATGTAAAATATTCGCGTAGATCCAAAAAAACTATTATGTGAACCAGTACCTACGGACTAAAAATCGCAACTAAATCCACGAAAAAATCCGAAAAGATAGTTTTATTTAAATTAATTCTTAAAGATTTGATGTAGGAATACCCGCGATATCTTACACCAATTTTTATTTTTTTTATGGAGTGATGAAAAACACCAATTATTATTATTTTTTAATGGATGCGATGATAGCTCTCAATGCATTTCATATTTATAAAACAGGGACAAACTATTTTAGTATCAAACAACAATCAACCATTTTCCACGTGTGGATTTGAACACGCGACCTCCGTCATAATAGCTGTAATCTATGAGACACTATGGAACCTTTGACTTTATTTTAATTATTCAATGACTTCATTTCTTTAAAAAACCTTTCTTTTCGAATATTATATATGCCACTAGCATTGCCCGCGACTCCGCCTGCGTCCAGATGACCAAAAATCAAATTCTTAGGTTTTACATATTAGTATACTCTTACAATGCAGTTTTTGTATTTTTTCCCGCGCTAATAAGTATCCTATATGTTGACTCGGATAACCAACTATCATCATACCAAATTTCATCAAAATCCGTCCAGTGGTTTTTCTGTGATGCCGTAACAGACATACAGACAGACAAAAAATCTAAAAACTATAGATTCGGCCTTTGTATCGATAATAATGTCTATTTCAATAAGATTTTCCAAAAAATATTTAATGTATAGATTCGACTTAGTTAGAATTTTATTATACGTATAGATTTACAGTAGAAATAGAGTCGCTTGAATTCAAAATGCCGAAACTTTTCAATAGGCATCTCGTCTTTATTATCACCGCCAATTTAAATGAAAGTATGGGAAATGGTGAGCTAATGCAATACTTACGTTATATGGATCAACTTAACTGATTGTTATAAATAAATTAATTAAATAAATTTTAAATTAAATATGTTGGGACATTAACACACAGTACCATCTAGTTCCATGGTAAGCTACGAGGCCTGTGTTATGGATACCAGACAGTTGATACACTACACATATATAACTTTAATTATACACATATTATAAATTCAACCAGGACTGAAGCGTACGTTTCAAACATCCGTATTCATCACACAAATGAGTGCCCCCAGCGGGACTCGAACACGCGACCGCTGGCACAGCAAGTAGGGTCACTACAAACTAAGTCATGCTGTTATGAAACTATAATGTTCTTAATTTTGACTATAAGTGATAATATAAATTTTTTGAACTAAATACAGCGATATGGTATGAAAAGTTCGACTAAATCATTTTCGGGTATCATACTAATATAGTCTATTAAAACCTTCATAAACAGACGACAGACGGACAGAAGGGGTTTAGATTCTAGTACCTTACGTTCGCTTCGAGCCTTTTGTATTTATAGAATTATACACCGTCAGCGCCACCTTTTGGCAAATTTTATCATTAAAAGTAGCCTGCGTATGTGTTACTCCCGGTCATCGTTTTTCAATTATTCATTTCCTACCTTAGCCCAGTCGAATTAGCTCAAAAAGGGGCAAACATTGCCAAAAAAATTTACTGGCAATTTTCATAAAATTGTAGGAAATTCGATTTTAAGCAATTTCGCTTATTTAAAAAATTTTGCAATATCAAATCCTAATTCGACTGGGCTACCTTTCCTGACTCCAATCAGTACTCATCCAAATCCACCCAGCTGTCTCAGTGTGAAGGAGCAGCAAACACGTCATTATTGGCACTTGTTTTCACGCAGTAAAACTACTTTTGAACACGTTATAATATCTTTTTATAGTGACACAGATATTTCTTAAATTACGTCCCGTTGTTTTGGACTCTTATATATATTCTTGAAAATTTATTAACTTGATCACCGGCAATAAAATACGAGCTAAGGAGGTCATCGGCGAGTGTTCGTTTTACACAAATCTTAATGTTTAAGAATAAATAAAAATAAATTTTATTTTTGGTGTTGCCGTAGCTAAAGCCGTGACACGACCTTCTTCAAATGAGATTATATGAGTCTTGGCTTCTATATATAATTGAATATATAGGTAATATAATGCATTGTATGCAGTTATAAGGCACCTAAATACGCCGGATGGATTTATATTTTAAACTAAACACTAGCGACTCACCCTCGCTTTGCTCGAGATCGTTCCTAGGTACGTTTTGACGCTTAGTATGAAATAGACTATATATTAAGATATATGTATATATACATAGGTTTGATGAGTTTTATATATACTTTACTTGAAAAATTATTGATGGGGAATCAATATAAACTTTCATCCCCCTTTTCACCCCCTTAAGGGATGGTTTCCGGTATAAAAACTATCCTATGTCCTTCCCAGGGTCTCAAGCTATCTCCATACCAAATTTTATCTAAATCGGTTTAGCTTATTTGTAGGTTATCCATTACAAACAAACATACAAAAAACATTTTTTTAGATTAATTATTGTTTAATTATTGATTTTATTGTATAGATATAGACTAATATTTTAAAATTATATTATGATTGGATGTCAGAGCCTCTGGAACTTTTGATCTGTTGTTTTTAAATAGTACGTTATGAACCCTAAAGACTACTGTTTAAAACTCTTTATTTTTTACTTGCAACTAACCAAGTGAGCAAACCTTTGAAGTCGATATTAACTTACTTCTAATAGTAGTATCGATTTAAAACTTTGTATGTAAAATACGCATATTAATTTAAACATTTTAAATAATCGAGAGGATCTGCTGATGGGGTCAGAAGTAGCATTCGAATTAAGACTCATTTAATTCGTTTTGACGAATCTTATACATAAGTATACACATTACAGATGATCTTAAGCGCGTTATATTTTAGCTTTAAACAACTACATGTACTCTGGTCTCTGATACACTTTTAGTTTTATAATATTTTTTCTCGACGGTACGTTTGGCTCACTTTGTAGTGACCCTACTTGCTGTGCCAGCGGTCGCGGGTTCGAGTACCGCAGGGGGTATTCATTTGTCTGATGAGCACGAATGTTTGTACTCCAGTCATGGGTGTTTATATTTATAATATGTACATATGTATTTGAAGTTATATATGTGTAGTGTATCAACTATCTGGTATCCATAACACAGGCCTCGTAGCTTACCATGGAACTAGATGGTGCTGTGTGTTAATATCCCAACATATTTATTTATTATTAAATAAAACTATCTTTTCGGATTATTTCGCGGATTTATTTTGATTTTTGGTTCCCGACGTTTCGAATGCTTTACAGCATCCATGGTCACGGGAGAGTCATGGTCTCTTTTTTAGTTTTATTTAATAATGTCAAACATTCGCGTAAATCTAAGAAAGTATTATATTTATTTATGAGTAATAAAAAAAAATATTTTTACAGGAGTTTGCAGAAACTGCAATGAATGAGTTACTTGGATGGTACGGATATGAGAGGCTCGAGTTACGACGTTGGGCAGCGTCGCGCGCTAAAGACACGGGAAGTCCGGAACAAGCAGAACAGAAGAGTAAAGGTATATTTATATTTGGATCTTGGGATCTATTAGATTCAATTTTATAATATTAAATGAGCTATTCTTGTATATATATAGAAATTCATTTCGTATCTCGGAAATCGATTTGGATCAAATTTTGTATTTAGGTAAGGTTTTGCTGTATTTATATGTAATATGTACCTAATTAAATATTTACGATAAAACTTTTAGAGGTTGTCCTGTGCAATGAAAAAAGCTAGATTTTTTTAATATAGATTACGTATAAAATATGTTTTTGTGGGAAGTAACCTCTTAAATTTTGAGGTACTCTTTTAAACTGTCTACTGTAAAATTTCTAAGGGCGCATGCACACGAGGTCTTTTTTACATTCTGTTGCTCAGTATATAGCGCGTTTGTAAGCATTTTTTAAGTTTATTAGCTCAGAATACGCGTTTGTTTCTTATAAACGTGGCGTAATCTTATTTACACATCCAAGTACTCGTATAGGCTGTTAAATGTTTGCCGCTCTAACATCTATAACTGTCAGTTCCCAGATTATTTTTACAATCCAACAATTCGGTCCATATTACACAAAAAATAGTTTTTGGGGATAACTTTTGTGCTAATAAAAGCTCAGTCATGTTCCGAATTGTTAGAGAAGACTTTTTGTTTTCTGTAAGACGCTTAAAAAGAATTTTGCCATAAATTCGCCGCCCTTATTTGTCGCCCAGCAGCTTACTCAACCTGCTGGTAAATCAACCAACCACTGAAACATGGCGTGAATTGGCCCTAACAATGTCAACTCCACCTAGATAGATATTTATTTATAGAATTATAAGATCTAATTGTGAACTACAAATATCAAGTCTCGGTGGCTACGCAAATTTTATCCTATCCTTGTATCGACGACACGTTTGGCTCAGTTTGTAGTGACCCTACTTGCTGCGTCAGCGGTCGCGGGTTCGAGTCCGGCTGGGGGCATTCATTTGTATGATGAGCATGCTTGTACTCCAGTCATGGATGTTTATATTTATAATATGTATGTATTTAAAGTTATATAATATGTATAATGTATCAACTATCTGGTATCCATAATACAAAGCTCGTAGCTTACCATGGAACTAGATGGTGTTGTGTGTTAATGTCCTAACATATTTATCATTATTTTATTATCTGTTTATTCATATGACACAGCCTTTTTTATATGTATAGAGCGGTGCAGTGAAAGTTACTTTACTTGCATAGCGTATGACACTTTCATGGAAGATACATCCCATACTTGATACTAACTACACGAATGCTTAGAAAATATAATTTTCTAACGAAAAAAACCTAAAAAACTTAATATTATTTCTCAGTAAGTTTCGTCTTTCGTTTGGCGTAGAGTTTAATTTAATTATGATTTAAATAGGTTCATTTTGAGCTCTCATTATATGATACACGTGCAACCAGAAGCACGTGTAATATATAAAAGTACAAAAGAGTTAGGAATAGCATATTACAATACTTCGCCTCTGTTTTTATCACTATCATTTTACTTTTTAAAGGTAAAATTTAAATGGTAAACCGTTGCGTCGCTGGGTGCCTAAAAGTAGCCTATGAGTACTCTAGGGAGCGCAAAGGAGTAACACACAAATACACTCTCTCTTTCAAATGCACACACACGCGCACGCACATACGCACATACGTACATATAAACTTTATCGATGACTCTGCTTAAGTATGCATATTCCATAAATATTTCGTTTATTTAACTAAACTGGACGTTCCATTTCTTGAATTCAAGATGTTTCCTTGATATTTTGACCTGTGGCTCCCGAAATGCGTACCTCTTTCTTAACGATCAAAAGTAAGAAAAACCAATTGCCCGCTGTGCTGCATCAGTTATAACACGAGACAGTCACTAATTCACCGACCGACTAATTCACCTTTTAAACAAAAAAAAAACAAAATCAAAATCGGTTCATCCGTTCGGGAGCTACGATGCCACAGACAGACACACACACAGACACGTCAAACTCATAACACCCCTTTGCGTCGGGGGTTAATAAGCAAATTAACACAAAATTTTTATTGGAAAATTTATTTTAATATGTTTAGTTCTTGATTTCAGTAAGATATACAAAATATATGAGCTTTCAAACAGAATGCATAAATAATTTGCCTCGGTTAATCTATACTTATAATAAAATTCTAACTAAGCCGAATCTGTACATTAAATATTTTTTTGAAAATCTTATCAAAATAGACATTATTATCGATACAGAGGCCGAATAGATAGTTTTTTTGATAATATGTTTTTTTATAATACTTTCTTAAATTTACGCGAATATTTGACATTTTAAATAAAACTATCTTTTTGGATTTTGTCGCGGATTTATTTATAAATAGATAAATCCTCGACAAAATCCGAAAAGATAGTTTTATTTAAAATATGTTTTTTGATAACTGCCTCGGTGGTGTAGTGGCTAGCATGTACGGCTGCACACTCGGAGGTCCTGGTTTCGAGTCCCGGGTCGGGCCAAGTTTAGTTATTGATCTTTCTGTATGGTAAGTCTCAGTAACAGCCCGTAGTTGGGAAGTTGGCGGTGTTTCAACTCCGTGCCTCGGAGAGCACGTAAAGCCGTCGGTCCTGCGCCGTAACTCTCACTGGTCGTGTCGAGTAGTCGTCCCACCGGAGTATGAGAGTTATAGGAATAGAGACTGCACGTTGTGTCTGCGCGTACACTTGTGCACTATAATATCTCCTGCGCAGTTGGCTAGTCTCAATGAGATTGGCCGCCGTAGCCGGAATCGGCTAGGAGAACATCAGATAGTTTTTAGAATTTTTGTCTGTCTGTCTGTCTGTTACCGCATCACTGAAAAACCACTGGAGGGATTTTGATGAAATTTGGTATGATGATAGCTGGTTATCCGGGTCAATATATAGGATACTTTTACCGCGGGAAAATGTCTCATTTCTGAGAAAAAATACAAAAACTGCAATGTAAGAGTATACTAATATGTAAAACCTAAGGATTTGGTTTTTGGTCATCTGAACCCGGGCGGAGCCGCGGGAAATGCTAGTTTTCTATAAAAGTCACTAGCAAAATTATAGCAGCATTCATTAACACGTTACGTCTATGTAATCGATACCCTCAATCACTACCGTACTGAATACTAAGAAGAGTTCCAGCTTTTAGTTTAACTTGTATTGGAAAATATAGGTACCAAAAAATATAGCTACTTATACTATTTTGATTTTAATGTTTTTACCACCTAGTACCTACCTTTAAGATATAAATGCGAAAAGATTGCGAATAAATGTATTCTTTTACTATTTAATTAATATATTTTGTCTTAAATAAAATATATTTTTAGGTTCTTTTGTGGATTTATTTTGTTTTTTTTGTTCCCGACGTTTCAAATGTTTTACAGCAAACATTGTCGGCGACGGAAAACCTATCTTCGAGTAACGTGTGTATTAATATAGGGACAATGTCATTTTAGCGTATTATGAATAATTGTTGTAAATATGAAATCTCATTCTTATTAGATTTATTATGTTAAAATAAGTTCTAATTAGTGTAATAAGGTTAGTTTAGAGTATTTTTTGCTTATTTGAATCATATAAGACTATTTAACATTAATTTGAAAGGAATAGGTACGTAAGTAAAATGTTAGCATATAATTACGTAACTTGAAAATGAGATTTTTTGTTTCTTGCAATAGCATAATAGTTTATGTTTTAAATAATAGATTTTATTATAAAACTTATAATAAAACAAGAATTAGGTCGATAGGACTATCCGTTCAAAAGTTATAAGGGAAAATGTATAGTAAAAATGTAGCAACCTAGAAATTTAGATATTTTTGTTTTAAGACTTTTTTAATTAATTATTATATATTGAATATTATGTTTTAATATTGTATAATAGTATGTAAGGCATGTAAATAAATATATATGTGTAAGGTGTTTTACTGAAAACATAAAATAAAAGGACTCTCAAGGTTTCGGTTTAGGGAAATTTTACTCGAAAAATGAGCTCAAAGTACGCGGCTCTCTGTAAGGTATTAACGGGCCAAATAAAAGGCGAGCCATTTCTCGATTCGAGTCAGTCGCAAGACAGCCACCGAAGAGGCAACAACTAAAAGGAAAAGGAAGAACCGAAACCAAGAGAGAAAAAAGGAAAAAATTGTGTTTTATTTCATCGCCTCTAAGTATAGTCTCCTGTCAACGAAGAAACCCTAGTGGATCGGGACCCAAGCTACGCATTCAGGGGTGCGTGGTGGCGTACATTACCAGCGAACGGACATACTGCCGTGTACGCCAAGAACGTCTGGGAGATTGTCCCAGGTCGACCTCCGGGTACTAGACATACCCTGGTTCTGGTCGTCCGAAACAGTTGGTCCTTCGAGCCGGATCCCTGCTAGAAGAAGTTCAGAAGAAACAGAAGATTGCGTTCAAGATGCCGGTAACCAGGTCGCAGAAGGATGCCCCCTCACGTCCCGGGTCCCGTCCTTCAGATAGGGACGCGACAAATGGAACGACACTTCTTCGGGTACCACGACCACGGAGGGCACCACAGTGACGGAGACTACGGTTACGACTGCAACTACGGCGGCGTCTATGGAAGGCAACAAAGAAGATGCTGCACAGAGGATGACCAGGAAGAGCCAAGAAGATGTACCTGGAAAGGATGTTCAAGGCTCCTCCAAGACCCTGAAACCGATGGGGGTCAGTCGTCGCGCCAGGTCCACGAAGACCACGAGTTCCTCGGCCAGAAGACGCGAGCTAGAAGCAAAGGAAGAGTTGGCACGCCTGGAGTTGAAGCAAGCACAGGCTGAAACTAAGCTAGCCCGTGTCAGATTGGAGATGGCACAGTGTGAAGAAGAGGACTCCGTGGATGAAGACCTGGAAGACAGAACAGCACAGGTGCAGAACTGGATCGAGACGTCTGTGCTGGAGGATGGCAACAAAGTTCAACCAGAGATGCGAGGTCCACACCCCTTGGAAGAGCCACAGAAGATGAAGCCTGAAGAGAACTCCTCAACGAGAG